TAATAGCCTGAAATTTTTTCCTTAGTTTATATATGTAATAAATTTTGATTAGCCAGTATCCTTATTTTTTTTCTGCAACAACTTTTAAGATTTATTTTTCATGTACAAAGCTTTTTACTCGTAGGGTTGTGTCCTCAGGATAGATCACTATTGTATGTATTTTAAAGATAAGTGAACTAATGTTCTAAGTGTTTAGGTGATTTCTTTACAAAAGCAGAATTAGGACTAGCACTCGGGTCTCCTGACTCCTAGTTCAGCAACCTAATCCACTATAATCACAAAAACAAATGGAAAAATCCTCAAACATTAACATGAAAATCAACAACAAAATATTTGCTTATGTTCAATATACTTGGTTAAGGCATAAATACTACTTATTTTAGAAATGTTTTCAGCAAAAACAATCCAGACCAAAAATATTTACTGATTTGCGAGTGAACCTTTAGCTAATCTGAAACAAGAACCTCCTTTAAGAATGCTGGTTAAGTCTCTGATATCTGCCACAGATGGTGAACGACAGCTTATTGTAAATTTCTACATTTAACTTCAGAGAATAATCACTCACGAACTTTTAAATTTTGTTCATTTCAGTTAATATATTTAATATACCTCACGTAAAATTTACAAAGGGTATTGCTGAAGAAACTGTAATACTCAGTGCTGCTGAGAGTTTACATTTCTGTTGTGTGAATATACTTAAATAATCTTTCCAGGAGCACTTGGCTGGCTCAGTCAGAAGAGCATGTGACTCTTGATATTGGGGTTGTGAGTTTGAGTCCCACACTGGGTGTAGAGATTACTTAAAAATAAAATCTTTAAAAATAAAAATAAAGCAAATAATCTTTCCAGAAAATAATTTGGCAATATATATCATAAGCCTTATGAATACATATGTAATGTGATTCAATATCTGTACTTCTAGGAATTCGTGCTAAAGAAATTACTAAACATGGAAACCTAAAATGTCCAACAATAATGCAAGGATTACATAAATTATGGCTGTCCATAAAATGGAGTACTATGTAACCTTTCAAAATGTTTCCAAAGTACTATTAATCGTACGAGAAAACGAAAGCTCTAAATATACTGACAGCAGAACTATATAAATAATAATCTTGATCATATGAAATATATATGTAAAAAAATACACATTGTGGTATTACTGGGGATGATTTGCTCTGTACATCTCCCATATTTTCCATTTAAAATAATACATTATTAATTTTATAATCAGAAAAAAAGGTTGTAATTGTCACTAGTGATTGAGTAATAGCAGCGATGGGTACTACGTGCCAGGAACTGCACATTTAATCCCCACCACAACCCTCAGAGCCAAGTGTCATCTCCACTTGCCAGATGAGCAAAAATTAAGATCAAAAAGATTGAGTGACTTAACAAAGGTTACGGTATGCAGCACAGCCAAGATCCAAACCCTGAGGAACAGGGAAAAGAGACTATTGCTCCACTATCAGAATTCTTACAGGAGATCCAAATTTATTTATTTATTTTTAAGATTTTATTTATTTGACAGAGACAGACACAGCAAGAGAAGGTACACAAGCAGGGGGAGTGGGAGAGGGAGAAGGAGGCCTCCCGCAGAGCAAGGAGCCCGATGCGGGGCTCGATCCCAGGACCCTGGGATCATAACCCGAGCCGACCCGAGCAGAAGGCAGACGCTTAACGACTGAGCCACCCAGGCGCCCCAGGAGATCCAAATTTAAAACACACAGTTAACTGAAGCCAAAGGCAAATGATGAGACAACCCACTATCACAATGCAAGATTTTCCCCACCCAGGAATCTAAAATACCAGGTAAAATTCAAAGGCTCTTGAAATGAATTCTTTTGTTTTCTTGTCTTAGATTTTGGCTTTGCTTCGGCCACTTGTCTTTTATTTTCTAAGGAAAAATGTTCATCTCTAGATATTTTTTTTTAAAGATTTTATTTATTTGAGAGAGAGAGAGAGAATGAGAGATAGAGAGCGTGAGAGGGAAGAGGGTCAGAGGGAGAAGCAGACTCCCTGCTGAGCAGGGAGCCCGATGTGGGACTTGATCCCGGGACTCCAGGATCATGACCTGAGCCGAAGGCAGTCGCTTAACCAACTGAGCCACCCAGGCGCCCTTCATCTCTAGATATTAGCATATAAATTATGTACTGCTAGTCTCAACTTAGAAGACTTTCAGTGATAGAAAAATAGCACCTCCACTGTTAAGTGAAGATTTTAAGGCATTTTTAAAATCTGACTGAAGGCTGAGATGTAAGGATGAGAAAATCTATTTGCTAATTATAAACCATCAACTGAGTAACTTCAGAATTATCAGGTTGGGAAGTTATTATTTTAGGCACTCAAGTTTACAAAGTATCACGTTATATAAGAAACACCATTTAAAAAAAAAATAATGCACTTTAGATGTCATTTCAGTCCCCTTAAAAAGAAATGAGGGGCACCTGGGTGGCTCAGTCGGTGAAGTGTCTGCCTTGGGCTCAGGTCATGATCCCAGGGCCCTAGGATCGAGCCCCGCATGGGGCTCCCTGCTCAGCTGGGGGCCTGCTTCTCCCTCTGCTCCTCCCCCCTGCTCATGCTCTCTCTCTCTCAAATAAATACATAAAATCTTTAAAAAAAAAAAAAAATGTATTTCACTGGAGTAATCTTCCCATTATCTTTGTCTAAAAAATTATAAAATTAATATCCTTAATAGCCTGAAATTTTTTCCTTAGTTTATATATAGCTAGCATAAAAATTCTAGAAACATATTTGGAAATATATAAATAATATGTAGAGAAATTCTAGATAGGGGATCAACTTTTTTGAAATAAAATTATAAGCATTTTATTAGAGAACAATACACTACAATTAAAGATAATGCTACATGAATAATTTTAAAAATACAAATTTGCTTACTACTTACAGGAAATGGCTCCAATCCCTCCTGAATCACAAAGCCTTCAATAACATGAGTTAAGATCTGTGGTTTAACAATAGCCTGTGGAGGTTTGTTTTCTATACTGGGAATGCTACTGGGCACGGATGTACTATTACTCCTCGTGGTAGCAGCGGGAAGTAAGAGTGGAGGTGGAGGAATAGAAACATGTGAAGGATCTGATGGAGATTTAATTACTGAAGCACTGACTGATGCCACAGCAGGTAATTCCACTTGCTCTGGAAAAAAAAAGTCATTTTTTTTATCTTTAGCATTCTGTGCAGGCAAATAAGAAAATCAAGAATAAACATTAATAACAATAACCGTCCACACCTGGTGCTTTAAAACACTATTCTAGGAACTTTACATTTAATCTCATTTAATCTTATGAGATAGAAGCTACTATTATCCCCACTTTACAGAAGGGGATAACTTGCTCAAAGTGATCATTCCAACTCTGGTTAAAAAGAACTATTCCATAAGATATGAAAAGTGTTTTAGAATGTCAATTTAAGAATAATTATGAAAACTGTTACTTTTTTAAAAAATTTCAAGCTACACAAATATTAAATTCCCTATGTTCCTGTTTATATATTCCAGATGGCATGGGGGAAAAAGTACTTTGAAAGTATACTTAAATAAAAAAGGATCATAAAATCCACAGAATAAGTAGAGATTTTTAAAGGATTACATAGCATCACCTTTATTTCAAGTAGTAAGGCTAATCCAAATCCATGCACAATTTTTTTTTTTTTTTAACAACTCTTCAGTGACACTGTGTATGTCAACTTGGGGGAACACTTTAGTACCAGGCAACTGCAAAATACTGGGTTGGATGACTGTGATCCCTCCCCTTCAAACTCTGAAGACCACAATAAGAGAGACCCCACAGCCTATGATAGACTTTACCTACCCATATGATAGCACCAAACCTGTAGTGACTGTACTAAAGTGGAAAGATGGAACCGGTTGGCAGCTAAAAATATCAGAGAGTACAGATATCTAAGAAAAATAACAAAAAAAGAGCACATGTGTAAAGATAATACTACAACTTACTGAGCACTTACATGCCAGGTACTGTGTAAATACCTCACATGCTGTAACTCATTTAACCCTCAAAACTAGCCCAAGAGTAGGTACTGCTGTTATCTCCATTTCATAGTGTGGAAACAGAAAGATAAAGTAACTTGCCCGAGGGCACACAACTAATTTAAGTAATGGAGCTGGGATACTAACCCAGGGAGTCAGTTCTTCAGACAGTGCTCTTAATTACTGTGGTAACTCCTCTCCATTAGTAAGAAAAGGGTTGACACCACTATCAAAGATGCTCAAAATACAGCCCAGTTGGATAAAGAAGAATAGGAATCCCTAAAGAATAAAAATTTCAGCTAAGAAAATAGTGTACTGATCATCTGTATAATCTCAGAAATGGAAAAGCTCTAACAATTCACTCTCGGGAATTGTGATTAATATAATAGAGCTTATCACAGCACTATTATAAGGCATTTATTAACCTAGTTCCATCAAATAATCCACCAAGATAAACTGCACTGGAAAAAGTTTAAAATTACACAATCCCTTATTAAAAACTAAACAAGAAAGTCAACACAAAATGCTAGTTTGCCGATTTCGAGAACACAGTATTGTACACAGGCATTACCAAACTGAGGAACTCCAGGAAAATCCTATCCTACGTACCAAATCTTCACATTTACTCCTAGAGGAAAAGGGATAAAAATTATAAAACTCTAAAGTGGGCCTGAAAGGTTTTTTTTCCTGTTTGAAGGGAAATATAAATCTATGGGGTACTGAAAAATAAAATTTTAATGTCCCTTACAGATTTATAGATACTTTGTTACTTTAGAAATATAAAGCTGGGGCACCTAGGCAGCTCAGTCGGTTAAGCATCTGCCTTCGGCTCAGGTCATGATCCCAGGTCCTGGGATTGAGCCCCACATCGGGCTCTCTGTTCAGCGGGGAGCCTGCTTCTCCCTCTCCCTCTCTGCCTGCTTCTTCCCCTGCTTGTGCTCTCTCTCTGTCAAATAAATAAATAAAATCTTTAAAAAAAAAAAAAAAGAAAGAAATATAAAGCTGCCTAGGGGCACCTGGGTGGCTCAATTGGTTAGCATTTGACTCTTGGTTTCGGCTTAGATCATGATCTCAGGGTTGTGAGACCTAGCCCCATGTCAGGCTCCCAGCTCGGGGCAGTCTGTTTGAGATTATTCCCTTTCCCTCTGCCCCACCCCCCGCCTGGCTCATGCTCTCTAAAAGAAATAAAAGCTTTAAAATATATGTGTGTGTGTGTATGTGTGTGTGTGTGTGTGTATAAAGCTGCATTAAGTATAATATGGTTTGTTAAGAAAATACTGCTTGGTATATGTTCTAATTAATTTTTATACTGTATGTGCCCATCTTTTAACATCCTAAGTGTTTTTAAAACTAGAGCTGTTAGTGACTTTTTGAAGAAGCTAATAGCTATTACTTGCCAGTATATAATCAGCTGTTAAAACTGAGAAACACTGATGTATTACAGTTGAACAAAAACACAATTATTACACTCTCTAGATTTAAGATAACTGTGAGAGAAAACAAAACTGACAGAACTTTGCCACAGGGTACTCTCTGCCTATTCAGTCTCATTTTCTGAGCAAGATCTATGAGCTTTTCCACCTTTTTTATGGATGCTTTTCACTTTTTTTTTTAAGATTTTATTTATTTATTTGACAGAGAGAGACACAGCGAGAGTGGGAACACAAGCAGGGGGAGTGGGAGAGGGAGAAGCAGGCTTCCCGCTGAGCAGGGAGCCTGATGTGGGGCTCGATCCCAGGACCCTGGGATCATGACCTGAGCCAAAGGCAGACGCTTAACGACTGAGCCACCCAGGCACCCTGCTTTTCACTTTTAAAGAATTTTTAGAGATTTAGGAAAACTGAATACTGGATTGAAACCAATCCCTGTATTTTTGCAGGTCAGTTTATTTCATGATTTGATAAGAGTTATTCTAAAAATCAACTTGTGCTTGCTTTACCCCCTCATACACACAGTAATAAGTATGAAGTAGATTATAGGAAGATTCAGAACTCTACACTGCACTCAGACAATTTAGCCAGAAGGATTTGCTTGATAGGATCTTGCCCTGCATCCTTGAGGAAAAAAATGTGAAGATGTTCTTGTATTCCAATATTTCAGAAGTGTTTAAATTTTCTTTGCATTACCATTAGTAATGCTTTTTAGGTAAATTAAATCACAGTCACAATGCAAGGTTAGTATCCAATTAAACTTTTATTTCTGCCTTTAAATCAAACTCCAGGAAATCAGCAACATTAAATACATTTCAGTTCAAAGAAGCTACAAAGATTTAATATGATAGATGTTCCTAAATCTTTCTTTTGTGGTATTATTATGAATAAACACAGACAATACTATTAAACTTGTCTTAAATACTTTATATCATTTTATTGACTAAACATTTTCTATTTCTCAGGAGGGAGAAAATATTGGAAGAAAACTGATTTTCCCCCTTCTGTGCTTTCCAGAGATTCATACTGAGAGTAAGGGAGAAAATCAGAGAAGGGAAGGGTTAGAGTGCTGGCACACTTGAAAAGAGAGGGAGGGCAAGGGTAGCTTTGGTAGCAATGTCAGTGTCCTATTACAATTTGTTTCCATGTAGGTAACGGTGGGTCTTGTTTACTATAAATAATCACCAGGGCCATGAGAAGTTCAAGAAAACTGAATACTTACAAGGAAGACTGAATCAAGATTAGGATTATCTGGGTCAAGGGTCAGCAAGCTTTCTCTAAAGAGCCATATGGGCTCTGCAACTGCTCTTCTTCGCCACAGTAATACAAAAGTAAAGATAATATTTGAACAAGTAAAGAAAGGCAGCTGTGTTATAATTTTATTTACAATGAAATTTGAATTTGGCATAATTTTCACCTGGCATGAAATATTACTCTTTTGATTTTTTTTTCAACCATTTAAAAATTTTAAAACCATCCTCAGCTTGTGGGCCATGCAAAAACAGGCAGCAGGAAAGATTTAAAGGATGAGCTATAGTCTGCCAACCCCAATCTAAATAAATTATTCATAAATTTTTAAAAAATCTAACAGTCAGTAGAGCATGCAGCTCTTGATCTCGGGGTCATGAGTTCGAGCCCCACGTTTAAAGGGGGAAAAAAAGAAAAGCTTTTATTAAGTGAATAAAACTAAAAATCTAACATGGTCCTTAAAAAAAAAAAGACTTAGTTAGACACTGGGTTCTAGGTCATACTAATGTTTTAGTAAAACACCTAGGATTCACAGTCACTTTAATATTATGAGGAGGAGCATAAAGAAGATTTACTTCATCTCATGAGTAGCACTAAAGTAGTGAATAAAAATTTAATGCATAAGGCCAAAGATTTTTTAATCCATGTCTCTAGTAAGAATTAGTGAGGTTTAATTTAAGAACTGTCTGGGAAAGAACACTTTTAAAAACATACTTAGCCTAGATCACAAGCAATTATGAGGAATGTCAGATATGACTCAGAATGCTTTGTGATTTCTGGAAAGCGTAACTGAAATCTTTTAATAGAACTGATTTATTCTAATTTTTAAGCTTAGAAACAGCTTGACAGATGAATCTGAATGGGCATATAAAATACATCTGTGCAAACCACTAAAAATTAGAAAGCTAAAGAATGTTTTTTACTTGGGTGGTTCCTCATCAACTGTTTTAATTGTTCCTCATTTAAAAAAATCTTGAATTCTATTTATATTTTGCTGCAATGACATAATAGCTTAATACCATCTCCAGTTATTAAACTTCACTAACTTGACTAAACTTTATTACTAACATTTACCTAATAGAAAATTCCCCCAAATTTAGATATTTCCTTACCTAACAAAGGATGTTCAGAAGTCAAATCTTCTCTCCCCACAGTTATAGCTGCTGGAGACAGTGTGGGTGGTGGTGGGGTTCTGTCCATCCGGACACATTCATCTGACTCTTCTGGCATTTCTTCTTCACACACATCTTCTACTTGATAAACCTGCAACGACAAACCACACCGCCTTAAAATGTTTCTAAAAATACATTTTTACTAAGGTGTTCTTAACTGAAAAAAATAATAATAAATTCTAAGTGTTTTAAATTTTAAAAAGGCAAAATGATTATTTGACAGGCTGAAAGGAAAACTTTAAAACAGCTCAAATGAAGTTTTCCATAATGCTTGACAATTTTCACTGAAAGCAAGTTGTGGATCAGTATCTAAGCTACAAATTACTAAAGTTTCAAAAAGGTGAAAGTCAAGTCAGAACATATTTTTAATTTTGAGAATTAAAAAAAAAGTTTTGATTTTATACACTCAAGTAACTATTTGGGGAATTTACTATTGTTTCTATTAACTTCAGCTGTCATAAATCAAAATAAATATTAGTATTTTTCACAAGCACACTAAGTAAATCTCCAAAATGACGTATATCAGGAACTGCTTAAAGGATGACACCCCAGGCTCTCTTCTTTGTTATATTTATGTGAACTGAAGATTAAATTATGAAAAGTAATGTCTGAAAACATACAAAAAAGGTATGCAATTGTATCTTTAATTCTTTATTCTTCTGATCTACTCAAGAATCTAATGAATTTTTATAAGCTAGTACCAGGTAAACAGAAAATATATGTCCTTGAAGAAATACACGTACACACACACACCCCCCTCCTAAGCCATTTGACACATTATTTTTAGTTCTTTAATACTATTCCATACTTATAAAGTTTTTAAGTTTTTAACAACCTTGTTATCTAATGCTAAAGAGCATACTGTAAGAAGAAAACATGGACTCAATCTGAGAAGGTACTATGTAACTAAAAATAACATTAATTTTTCATTAAACTTAAGGCTGTTTTCAAAGGCCACTTTTAGACTATTTTGTCATTATTTAACCATTATTTTACTAAAAACAAAGTCACAAAGCAGTTCCTTTCTTTTATATATAAAGCTTATTACTTAAATTTTCAAAGGTGATGAGTTTTTAAGATTACTTACCTAAACTGATTAATATTTCTAATAAACGTGAAAACAAAAATCAACATTCACAAAAAATTTTGATATCTAATATTATATGTATTTTTAATCAAACTACTTAAAAAGTGTGATGATTTGAAGTATATAAAGTTAAATATAAAAATGGTCAAGATTATTAAAATCAGCATAAACCATGTGTTATAAAAAGGACTATCCAGCAAGTGACAGTTTAAAAAAAAAACCACCTAATTTCCCAAGCCTCCATTAAGAATATCTTTAAAAAAAAGTCTTTTTAAAAATTTAGAAATCCTAAAAAAAAAAATTTAAGAATCTTCTAGTTATTGATGATTTTATACCAAATATAATATCCAGAACTGCGATCTGATTCAACTAAGTAGACTACATTTTTAAAAGTTATTTGCTCCCAACCCTGCACCTGGAAACCTGTTTCACTGAGAGATTCCCTGCCTCATGTCAGGATCCTTACAGTAGAATGACAGCTGCTAGTATCTGTTCACATAATTTTTTTTAAATGACGATAATGTCCACTACAGGGAAAGTCATCCAAAAGAAATGTCCTGGGGGCTAAAGGGGAAAAAACAAAAACAACCTTCTAGTGAGGAGCATCTGCTGTTGTGGTGATTACCTTAATTTGGCAGTGGTAGGGATGTTGATTCAGAGGTTAATTAGACAAGTATGGTTTTACCAACAAGTTCAACTGTACCTGTGTAACATTCTTTTATTAGATATCTTTTCTTAAAATGTTGAAGTCCTCTCTTTAATATTAACGCTGTCACAAGTTTTTCAAACACCTACTACAGTACCTTTTAAAGAATCAAAGTTTGATCATGCATAGAACTCTGGTTTTTAAAAAATAATGGAAGAGTTTTAAAGGATAAGAGTCATAACATAAACAGCATATTCTGAAATAATCCATCAAAGAATATTATAAAATACTTGTCATTCTTTATAGGTAAGCCTAACTACACAAACTTTCTCTCAAATCTGCTATGTAAAGGCAAAATAAGTTAATAAAAGAAGTAGGCAAAAACAGATCTGTCACAGACATCTGGTACCGTCAACATAAAAAATCTAAGTGCAACAACTAAAATATTGAATAAAGCAAAGAAATAGAGGTTTTACTCACAAGATCATTAGGAGACTGTGCAACGCAATTTGTTTAGTTCATAACTACAACTATTCTAAAACTAGCAATGACTGCCAAACTTACCTCAATAAAATACATTAGTCCTATCTGTCTCCCTTTCCTAAACAAACTGTAGAAGATTTATTAATTCTAAATTATCTACTCTCACATATCTTATACTCAAATGTCAATGACAAATTTTAGTTTTATAAATGTATCTTTTATATATTTTTTATAAATCTTTTACTTTGACAATTCATACTTAATCTTTTAAAACTTCAAATCTCTTAAGAAGTAAATAGATATTACTATCTTTAAATATTTGAAACAACCAGGTAACTGTGAAGAAATGTGTAATTCATGAAGAAACATGATTTGATAAAAAAAGTAAGATGTGATCAAAGATAATAAAAGAAAAACATGGTAACTTAATAAATAGGCTATGGTACTCAAAGAAAGATAAAAGGTAAGAAAAATAACATAGGAACATCTATAGCAAGTATGACCACACCAGTGACAGCAGAAAAAGTTACTATTTTCATGGGAGAAAACAAAAACTTCCAAAAATGAGATAAATTAAAAAAAAAAAATTTTTAAGAGAGGACAGCAAGAACAAGACCTTAAATTTTTTAGCTTTAATGTCTTATTATGTTGATATTTCTATCCCAAATATGTTCCTCTAAAGTTTCCCCTAACAAAAACAATTAGAAAATTAGAAGGCATAAAAGAAATTTTACTTTTTACTTATTAAAACCCAATTCACTGAACTAGAAAGAATATAAATTTAAATTTGATTTCTTTGAAATTACTATATACTTTGAAGCCTGTGTTTTATAATATCCATTGTAAATTTTCAAAAATCTAAAAGAAGATATAGACATTGAGAATTGAATGACAAACTTATTTCTAGATGCCCATTGTTGTTTCTATCAAGTTGTTTTTTATAAAAGTAAATTAGAAGTGGAACTCAATCTCTTTATGCCTATTAACATCAATGAGGATGACAAGAATAAAGAATCTATAAATTTGCATCCTGAAAACCATTAAGGAACAGACTATGAAACTCCTTTCCTGAGTTAATGGTTATTAATTTTTAAGTGATAAAATCTCTTCAGTGAAATCTGATATGAAACCTCCTTTGGGAGGACTGTTTTCCTCAGTTATAAATTATTAATTTGATCCTTCTGCCTAAACATTTAGAGAACTTCAATTTTTATTGTAAAATTTTATTTTACAAATTTAAAAAGTCTTTTAGAGAATGTTTTAAAGAAAAATATTCATCAAGCTAATTTTCTTTCCTAGGCAACATGTACCACTGCTAGAGGGTTTATTCTGATAAATTTCACCACAATCTCAATTATTCAAAACTTTTATTCCTCCCAATGGATTTTTTCATCCTCAGTATTCAATTCATCCACTCAGTTTTTTTAGTTTTTTAAATAAGAAATATGTAAAGTATATATTTTCACTATATACAGAAATTTAAAAATCAGAAGTTTAATAATTCCAGAAGATGGGCTACAGTTAATGTTTTTTGCGAAGTTGGATTATTTCCTAGAGTAAATGTCTTTCTTACAAAATTTGATTACAAAATATAATTTTACCCCAAAATTACATCATACAAGCATACCTCCACCTTGAAGCCAAAGCCCCTAAAGGCCCAGGACTTCAGAATGCACACAACCAAAAAGGTTAGGTAGATAAACCATACGTTTAAGAACATACAAGCCAACAGAAGGGATCTATGAAGGATAATCACCTTAAGAGAAAAAACTTTGTGCAGATGACACTGGTTCAAATGCATTCCCTTGGGGAAAAAAAATCAACTCTGTAAAGATAGCAGATGGATTTGTTTAAATAGTAATAAAATTAACGAGGGACTTTAATAACCATCACAAATTATCAAGCATGCAACCATACTACAACAAATGGCATTTTTTTTTTTTTGCCCATACAGCATGTTTGTCAGACACTGACAGATGGAAATTGCAAGCTTTTTAAATTCATAGGCATTTAGATCTAGCAATATAACATAATGTGGGAGAAAACAGTATTTACTCTCAGTTCAGTAAGAAAGTCAAAGAGCTTCCAAGGGCTTACCACTGGTGGATCAACAGGTGCTGGTGGTTGTACTTGTAGGTTTACCGCAACAGTCTGTGGAGGAGGAAGAGTCTGAAATGGCAACTGGACCAAAGCTTCTGCAGCTGGAAGCTCCTCTTCTGACACCAAAGCATTCTGCACCAAAACCTGGCCCTGGGATAGAATTTCAGGCTGCACTTGTAAAGACTGCATAGACTGCAAGGGCAGTGGTGGAATCTGAGCTGGAGGAGATGCCGACATCTGCGGAGGGGTTGCAATTGGGATTGGAGAGGACTGCAGGGTTGAATACTGCTGGTGTGATGTTGGAGACACAATCTGCTGACCTGGGGACACCAAAGCAGACTGCTGAACTGGGCCAATGTGTACAACAGGGGAAGCTGGAAGTGGAAGATGGGATGGAAGATTCAGCTGTGCTGTAGACTGCACCTGATTAGCAGTGGATTGCTGCAGGTTTGGCCCTGGCTGGAGAGCTGATGACACAAGAGGGTGTGGCTGAATAAGTGCCTGTGGATGGATAATTATAGTAGGAGACTGACTGGGTGAATGAGGCGGTGGAGGAGACACCACTACAGACTGCTGTGCTGACTGGGACTGGCTAGGAGACATTGGTAAAGGAGGGGGATGGCTCTGAATTGGTGAGCAATGCTGTGACTGGGCATTACTAGGAGTTGGAGGAAGGCCATGGTTTTGGAGTGGCATACAGTGCTGGGATGGGGGTGGGTCTTGAGTTGGATTTTGAAGTGTGATTGGCTGAATTTGCTGTTGCTGCTGCTGTAATATCAGCTGATGATGGGAAACCTTGGGAGGTGGAGAATGAAGAGGAATCTGCTGATGTTTTATTAGAGGATGAGGCTGAATTGGAGGATATGAAGCTGTGAGAGAAAAAAATGACAATTAGTATTTTTTTCCAAAAATATCCTAGAAATTTATAAATAAATCTAAAAGAGGAAAAGTTTTCACATCAGAAGGTCATAATCACCAGAAATCTATTACAAGTCTTCCCAACAAGAGTGATTTGAAAATGTAATGACAAACAACCTTTCCTTGGAATACTATAAAGATTTTATGAAATAAACTGTACTGTGATAAGCTCCAAAAGAAAAAACTGCCTAAAACAATGTATTTATAAATCTGAAATATACACATGATTTATTCTTATTTTTAGAGGTCATCAGAATATCTGCATTAACTTTTAACGAAGTTTATCCATCTGAATTCCTTCTTCGGGGAGAAGAGGAGTATCCCTGAACAAATATAAGATCTATAAAAATAACTTCAAAATCATAAAAATGCAGTATCAAAATTCATAAAGGTCTCATAACTTTCTAATGTATGTCTAAATAGTCTTCCAACTAACAGTCAATGTAATTATTTATAAAGCTTCCCAAATATGTTTCCAAATTTGAGCCAAGATGAAAAGTTGGTATTATTTGACCCAGAAAATATTTTGTATAACAAGTTAATTCAGCTAAGCAAAACACATGTGTGAATTCTATAGCACTGTAACTAAGAAAATTTCAGGGGCCATTCCAAATCCAGGAGAGCACTGCAGAGTTTTACTTGCAGAGAGAATAAGGCAAGTCCATGCTGTCTAAATAAAGGATCTTGTTTTACTTCTCCCCTGCCCCCACCCAAAAAAGCCAACAAAAACAACAAAAAACCCTACAGTAATCTATAAATGACAGTATCCGTTTTTTCCACAGAAGAGTCACTCACAATAGGGATAATATATATAAGAATTAGCAAAATCAAGTAGTAAATAGTTGTTCCATTATTATGCCTCTTCTGCATACTAGTGCGTATGTTTACACAGAGGGAGATGCTGGTGAAAGCCTCTCTGTCTAATGAAAAATGGAAAACGGGCTTCACTAGAAGATAAACTGAAAAGATTGCTTAATATCCGACAAAGCCTATATGCATTTAAAATAGGTCTAAAGAGAGGGCAAAACTTTCTTCTTAATCTCAGAACGTTAACATAAAGGCTATAACATCTTGCATCTATTTTTATACTTAACCAATTAACCACATTTGTCACAAAGGCCTTATAAAAACTTGTAACAACTTTTTTTTTTTTTTTAACATTCTTCCATTTGGTTATCATTTAAAATTTTGGAGTTCCTTTAAGGAAATTAACATCTGATTAACATCTCAAAAGAGAGGCATTTAAAAGGTTCAAAAAATACCCACAAATTGTATTTTTAAAAAAAACAGAGATAGGTCTAAAATTTCACCTAACAAAGTAATTTTCACATAACTAGACTAGCACTTCAAACTCAGACTGAAAATTGTATGCCAGCACTTTGTAAATGTGTTGATAAAGACTCTATATTATAGAGCATTCAACAAAATCCTAGAATCCTAGAGTGCCTTTCCTCCAAAGGGCTCAAGGTGCTTTCACATTTCTCTCTCACTTGTTCAAGCCCACTTTAATTCAATTTTTTAAGTTATAATTAAAATACCATATTCTTGATGTACAATGTATATCACATTTATGGCAATAAAAATTCTTTCTCAGCTCTAGTTAGTAAGCAATCTTTTTTTATATGCTAGAGCTGATAATTCAATAGTATTCAATTAATACTCTTTCACCTAAATTATTCTTTGATGAGAAATCACAGTGAGTCTATATATTTTATATTAGTCCCTCAGCCCAACTGACAACCATATCTATTAGAGAATAATTTTGAGGATATCTGAAACAATACTTCTGCATAAGAAAAGCCCTAGTGCTCTGGAGAATGATACCACGTTTGTTAATTTCTCTGATTTTAATAAACCCTTTATTATTGTCAGGATGGCCTTTATCTGGAGAATTAATGATTGGTATCATCTCTCACATATATAGAACTCTTTATATAATTACTTACAATTAAATATATTAAATAATTATATATTATTGTAAATTATTAAACATATTATTTTACTAAGTAGTTACAACAACCCCATGAGGTAGACAGGGTACTACATTAATCCAATATATTACTGGAGAAGAAACTGGACAGTTAAGTGCATTGCCTGAAATCACCTGGCTTTTGAGGGGCAGCCCTGGGTCTAAAAGAACCCATAGTACTAGCTGAGTCTGGGCTCCTATTATGGACTGAATGTTTGAGTCCCCAAAAATGCATATGTTGAAGCCCTAACCCTAACATGACTACATGGTAATGGGGCCTCTACGGAAGTAATTAAGGTGAAATGAGGTCAGAAGGGTGGGGCCCTTACAAGAAGACATATCAGAAAGCTCCTATCCTCTCCCTCCTGGCACTCAGATAAAAGGCCATGTGAGGACACAGCAAGAAGGCAGCCATCTGCAAGCCTCGAAAAGAGCTCCCACCAAAAACCAAACACTGCCAGACCTTGATCTTGGGTTTTTCAGCCTCCAGAACTGTGAGAAAATAATGTTCTACTGTTTAAGCCACCTATCTATGATATCCTTTATGGCAGCCTGAGCAGACTAGCATAGGCTTTTCACTACATATTAATGTCTACAAAAAGTGGTATATATTTTTTTTCCAACTAATGTCATAAAAGCTCTAAAAACTGCTATAAAAACTTTAACTCGAATACAGTTCATAATTTCCAGTCATATGGTTAAAATTCACCTTTATTTTATATATTAAAAAGATTAACTATCAAGTGAGAGCTACGCATTCAAGAAGAAATGAATAAAACCAAATGATCTTAGCACCTTAGAAATAAATTAAGGAAACAATAACCATATCCATTATAATAATTATTAGTCTCTACTACAGTAGAACACCAGGTAAATTTTTTCATATTTGAAAGCGACCTATATACATAGGCATTTTTCTAACTAAGGAACAGGATAAATTACCAAGAATCTAAAAAAAAAAGAAAAAGAAAAGAAAGAAAAAGAAGAAAAACAATTTAGCTTCAGGCTAACTTCTCACCAACAAGAGCAGAAAAACTAAGAGTGGAAAAATCCAGCTATTGCCTAGCCAGAAGATACAAATTGCTTTGAGTAACTGCAGTGTAAAGCTTGAGTGAATTTATAAGTTTGGTAACTGCAAAGGTTTTTGTGGCTTAGGGTATTTCATCTGGTTTTATTTCTAATCAACACCACATGGGAAACCAGAGTTTGGTTAATACACTTAAGAGATCTAAATCTGGAATTGCAATCGTCCTTAGAGTCTGATAGTTTTAGCTTACTGGTCTCCTCCATACCTACATAAAATATTGGCCATCAGAGGAAGGCAACAATAGAGATCCTATTACACTACCAATGAAAGAAAAGGGAAAGAGTAATTGTCAACTTAGAACCAGGTATTGGGAGTTCAGGAGAACTAAAAATCTAAAAGTAGATCTCCTTGCTTGAACTAACCCTGCAAGATGTCCTAGCTTTATCTGAAGGTAGCATTCTCTTTGCAAGGAAATTAATGTACCCTCCATTATAATCTATCAAAACTATAAGAATCACTAAAAATTGTCCCAAGCAGTCATGTCAAGTGCAGTGGGTCATTACTGCTCCACAATGACTCCTATCAAAACTGGCCAGAGGCTGGTTTGAGGCTGAAAATACTCTGGACAGTACAGTACAAAAATCCTGTTATGAAGCCATACGGAGAGCAGGACCTAGGCACATAGATGTTTATAAAAAAGAATTCACATCACACTATACTATGAATGGATTTATTAATTTATACAACAAAGCTTGAACTTATCTAAAGATTCAGATTTAAAAATTCCAAGCAGTGATACCCAATCAGTTTGAATGAAAAAAACTGTGCTGTAATTTCCAAAATTCAAATGGAAAAATAGATCAACTATTAATCCACCAAATATTTACTGTCCACCTATTGCAGATAAGTACATATAAGGCACAACTTAGTGCTGTCAAGATAAAGGGATGAAAAGGTGAAACTGAAAAAGGATTAAAGGAGTTAATAATTGTAAAGTACCTGACACATAAGTGTTCATTATTATTATCCTACTCTCAAAGAGCTTACTATACAGTAGAAAAGCTAAGATCAGTAAGTATATAAATAACCACAAAAGAAAAAGAACCACGAAGAAGTATAAAAACGCTATACAAGTTCAAAGTGATGAGAGATTTCTAACTAGGAGACTCAAACAATTCCAAGACACTGAGATTGGGTACTACAGAAAATGCAAGCAATATCAGCACAGAGGAAACATGCAAGAGAAATAGGTTTAGGTGGAGAAAAAACAGACTTTAGCAGTATAAAATGAATCTTTAAAAAGCAATACAGAGCTATAAAAAGACAGAAAGAAGGTGCTTACTTGATGAAGTTGAATCAAGGGAGGATTTTTTTTTTAAATGTTTTATTTATTTATTCATGAGAGTGAGAGAGAGAGAGAGGAGAGGCAGAGGAAGAGGGAGAAGCAGGCTTCCCGCTGAGCAGGGAGCCCGATGTGGGACTCGATCCCAGGACCCTGGGATCATGACCTGAGCCGAAGGCAGACACTTAACCACCTGAGCCACCCAGGCTCTCCCCCCCTTTTTTTTTTTTAAAGGGAGGATTTTTTTCCCAGCCACTGCGGGAAACAGTATAGAGGTTCCTCAAAAAATTAAAAAATAGAACTATCCTACAATCCAGTAATCACACTACTGGGTATTTACCCAAAGAATATGAAAACACTAATTTGAAAGGATATATGCATCACTGTTTATTGCAGCATTATTTACAACAGCCAAATTATGGAAGCAGCCATGTCCATCAACAGATGAATGGATAGAGAAGATGTGATACACACACACACTGAAATATTATTCAGCCATACAAAAGAATGAAATCTTGCTATTTGCAATACAGACAGAGCTAGAGAGTATAGTGCTAAGTGAAATAAGTCAGAGAAAGATAAATACCATATGACTTCACTCATATGTGGAATTTAACAAACAAATGAACAAAGAAAAAAAAATAGAGACAAACTAAAAATCAGACTCTCAACTATAGAGAACAAGCAGATGGTTACCAGAGGGGATTGGATGGGGGAACGGGTGCAATAGGTGACAGGGATTAAGAGTACACTTTTCTTGATAAGCACGGAGTAACATACAGAAGTGCTGAATCACTATATTGTACACCTGATACTAATATAACATTGTACGTTAACTATACAGGAGTTAAACTTTTTTTTTAATTAAATAAATAAATAAAAAATAAAAGCTATTGGTTTTACCAATACAATGGAAGACCAGCACATAATGAAGATGTTAATCAAATGTCAATTAACCAAAAAAATTTGTATTATTATTATTTGTTTTAGCTGTTGGGCTCTTTTGATTTCTTTTTTCAAGCTACAATACTGTTTTTTTTAAACTCATGAAACTCACATTAAAAAATGTTTTAGAAGTATTGTTCTTGTTCAAGTAATAGACACTTTTGTTTTGCTCTGCCTGCTAATAAAGTGAATGCAACTATTTTCAACAAGTTTATCCCACCTGGTGCTATTAACTGGTGAATACTTGATGTCCGGGTGACAGCTGTGCTTCGTGATTCCAGACTTGGACTTTCTCCCTTCTTATTACTTTCTGGAGAAGGATCTCGTTGGCTGATTTTAGAACTGGTCACTGTTGTTTTGTTATGACAAATTGTCAATGACTGAGTTTGACTAGTGCTTTTTGGCGGACCATTCTGTGAGCTAGATAATACACCCAACTTCTGGCTGCGTAATGTTAAATTCTGAACCTAAGAACCACACAACAAAAAATAAGGATGAAACAGATGGTATTAATTGAGATGTGATAATCATTACCATTATAACAATGACAATACATTTATATTATGTTTTTTACACATCAAGTTCCAAGCACTTGAAACGACTGATTCATTCCAAAAGAAAGGGGAGTTATTATTCTAAGTAATATTAAGTAAAAGTTTTTTAAAAAGACATTAAGGGAATCATTAAGAACAAAATGAAAACAGTATTATCAAATGAACTATGAATATGAGGAAATCACTCTGCAACATACTGCATTTTGAAGTTACCAGCTCAGAGAGAGCCAAAGGCAAGGAGAGAAAAGGGTACTCCAGATAAAAGGGAAAACTTGAGCAAAGCCTCAGAGGCAGAAGAGCCCAGGGGGCATTAGGGAAGGAGCAATTCCTTCAACTCCACTCTGACTTCTCCAGGCCAGGAGTGTGAAACATTGAAGGTTACAAGTGCTTTATACTCTTGTGAGAAGTTACTACATACAGTTAGGAGTGTGCATATACAATATTGTCATCCTCATAAAGATCAGAAAGAAAAAAAAAAAGATCAGAAAGAGAACTCCAAAAAAAAAAAAGAAAAGAAAAGCTACCCATTCTACAGAGATTATAAGGGAACACTCATCTTGTAAATTAGAAAACTCATTCATCAAATCACCTACCCATTATGGTAATTATGAAAAGCATTTCCTATCAACTCCTTTTTAAAATCCTGATGTTGTTATGGAATACTCACTTGGCTTTGAGAACTAGATCTGATGAACTGAAAAGACTGTGCATGGCCTTGAAATGGCTTATGTCATGGCTCCTGTCTACACCTGGGGCTATTCTAAACATACCACCAGTCTGGATGGTGACAAGATCATCCCAATGACTTTCACCTGAGGTTTATAACATTCCCAAACGGCAACATAGAAAATGCCTCTCCAATAGCTGCCTGACCTTTTACCTATCTGGAAACGAATGTATTAAATACATTTATGCTAGCACTGACCCTGAGAAGGAAACTGAAGCAAAAGATTCTAAAGTGTCAAAGCAAATGAGATACTGCTGCTTTATAAACATTCTTCAGTTTCATGTGTGTTCTGTCTCTACAACTGTATCATTAACTGATACTCACAGGCTAAACCTTCTCTTCCCAAGCGCCAAATGCAGTGGGCAGCCAACAGCAGGTGCTAAACAAATTTTCACTTCAGATCAGTTGAGGCTTGATCAGACTATTCTAAGCTACTGAAACAATTTTTTGAGACCATATGGAGCGTCTTCTTGGATTTTTGTCAAATATTTCATAGCAATGTAAGTGGACTAATAATTGTTGTATTACTAAAATTTAATACAAAAATAAAATGTGCTAAAATCCAGGTTTCTCAGCTTGCCACTCAAAGCCCTCCACAGTCGAGGCCCAAACCACTTCAAGCCCCATCTTCCACTACTTCAATCCACAATATTCACATTCTAGCCAAACTGTTCTGCTCACCCTTCTCCAAACACAACTTATACTTCCTCCATTTAGAGCCCTTGCTCAGGTTTCTCTTGCCTAAATGCCATTTTTCCTTAACAGCTGTCTCCTGAAGCCTAATCCTTTCTTCAAGGCCCAGTAAAAATCCCACTCTCTCCCAGAGAAACCTCTCCAAAGTCCCTGGTTAGAAATAATTTCTCCACCCCTCTACAATGCCTTTCCCACAGAATTTGGATCATACTGGCCTACAGTACTGACAAATGTCTAGCTTATTTTAGAATTACTAATGTGTCTGTGAAATGCTGAGACACTCGCTGGCAGACTCTCATCCCTGACATTCATTTTTGTACTCCCCACAGTTGAGTGCTACAGACATAACAGAAACTCCACAAGTCTGAGATATTCTCCTATTTCTAATTTTAAAATATATATTAACTTTTTTTTGCTAAGTGTTTAGTTCTATTTATGGTTTTTTTTAGGCAAGCAGTAAAATCTGTTCATTTTTAACCAAAAAAATCTCAACAAATTTCTAGTGAAGGCACATTAAAATCTTTCAGGAAGCAAGGGAAAAACAGCATAAAATTTAACATCTGCCATAAATGATCTATAAAATGAACCAAATCTAATGATATCCAAAGGCTAAATTATAATCTGAAAAACTTGAAAACTTTCTTTCAAATAAAAAGCATATTCACAGTAAATGAGGATTTCACACAATGAACCCTAAACCTGCAGCAGTCCATTTCTATAGAATATACTTTTTCTTCTAATTTTGTTCTCTGAAATTCTGAAAGAAGATGTATGTGTGTGCTTATTATATATATTATATACATTATTTATATGAATAAATTTTGGAATATGGCCATAATAGCTATGGTCATCTTGGCTTACATATTGAAAATAAATTTCAAACATGCGAACCATACTCCTAAAGTATATTAGAGTTAATTTAGCTATTAATAGAAAGATCAGGGCGCCTGGGTGGCTCAGTTGGTTAAGCGACTGCCTTCGGCTCAGGTCATGATCCTGGAGTCCCGGGATCGAGTCCCACATCGGGCTCCCTGCTCAGCAGGGAGTCTGCTTCTCCCTCTGACCCTCTTCCCTCTGGTGCTCTCATTCTCTCTCTCTCAAATAAATAAATAAAATCTTTAAAAAAAAGAAAGATCACATATTCAGATGTCCTTGACAGACCCTGACTTTTGAGAAGAACCCACTCTTTTCTAGATACAGAATAGTTCTCTAATGTCCAAGTTTCATTTCATCTGAACTTTTCCTATGATCAAATTATGGAAACATTCTAACTTTTGAAAAAGACTAGGTAGCACGACATTTCTGCTAATTTCACACATTACATTTTTATAGTGGATTACTCAAATCTCACATCTATTATCTAATTTGGTTCTAACAAATACTGTGTAAATTACTGTGTAGCATCCCTTCTTTGCAGATGAGGAAACTAAGATTTAATGTCATATTACCAGCAGTAGAACTGAGTTTCTAGTTTTTAAATCCAAAGGACTATTTTCTTCTCAATGCTAAAAGCATTCCCCAGATAGCCTTGGTAAGTAAGATTTGTTACTTTTAGTCCTGTATCTTTCTGAAAGTCAGATTTTTTTGCTTATTTTTATTTACTTGGTCATGGTGGGAAGAAGGAATGGAGCATTTAAAATAGTAAATAAGGGTAAGATATTCCAAATTTCTTATTTTTGGACAGTATGCCACAAATGAATTTTAATACTAAGAAAAAATTAACTTATAATACTGACCTATGTAAAAGAGCATTAAAATTGGCATCTCTCAACTACACAAATTCATTGTTTTAAAAATTTCATATAAGTTTAAAAATTAACAAAGTGGAGCACCAATTTTTTCAAAACTAACAGCCCTGAATTTGAGGGAAGTTACCACTAGAATATGCAAAGTATTAGCATCCTCTACCACTGCCAGCTTCATTCACTGCCATTTCAAAAAGCACAGCAAAGAAAAAACATTTGTAGTCAGATTATCACGGAGCCACATACCTGTATCACATCAAACTGGACCCCAAAGAGCCACTTTTATAAAATTACTTTGACTATGCTCACATTAAAGGTACTGCTAAAGACCGCTAAGATGTTTTCTCCATGAGAACCCAGAAGACAGACTCTAGAGCACTCTCTAGAGAGCATGTTAGTTGTTTTTCTAACAACTGGTTTATTTTACCTTGGAAACTGTGAATCATTTCAATGGCTTTCTTCACCATTAGCTACTTGAAAGCTAAGAACTGAATTCATGACTTATCTTTAGACAATATATAACAAAAATAGTGATTAGTGGCTTGTGATATGTGCCAGGCACTATGCTAAATACTTTGAGTATGGTCTCATTTATTCCTTTTCACAGCTCTGAGCTATTCTAGTTCACAGTGAAGAAACTGAGGCTTAAGAAATTACATCCAACATAATTTCATTTAAATGCAGTTTAAAAACAGGCAAAACTAACATAGGTCAGGATAGTGTGATCCTTGAGGAGCAGTAATGGCAGGACCAAAATGGGCCATCAGGGAGGCTTCTCTGGGTCCTAGTAAGGTTCTTCCTCTTGACTGGGTGGCTTGGGATATAAGTGTATTCTGGTACAGATTATTGAACACTTAAGATATGTTCTGGATGTATATTGCTTTAATAAAAGCTTTAAAATGTCCAAAAAAAAAAATAAAGAAACTGAGGCTCGGGGCACCTGGCTGGCTCAGTCGCTAGAGCATGCGGACTCTTGATCTCAGGGTCATGCATTCAAGCCCCACACTGGGTGTAGAGCTTACTTTAAAAAAAGAAAAATTGAGGCTCAGCATAGATAATAACAACAACTAACACCTAGTGAGTGCTAAGTATCAGATACTGTTCTATTTTTCAATTATTTTTTAAAGATGTATTCATTTATTTGAGAGAGAGAGAGAACATGCACCCAAGAGCGTGGTGGAGGAGCAGAGGGAGAGAGAATCTCAAGCAGACTCCCTGCTGAGCGTGAAGCCCAACCCGAGATCAATCACCACCTGAGCTGAAACCAAGTCAGATGCTTAACTGACTGTGCCACCCAAGTGTCCCTTATTTTTCAATTATTAACAGTTAATCCTCACTATGACCCTATGAAGCATTTATAAATATTTATTTTATATTGTTGAAACTGAGGGGAGAGGTCAATGATATACAATGAAAAAGTGGCAGAGCATGTACTTAAACCAGGAGAGTCTGGCTCTAGAGCCCAAACTTGTTAACAGTATGCTACACTATGACCTTGTCCAAAATCAATCAACTGGCAAGTGACAAAGCTGGCAGTTGCTGAAGTCAGAATTTCAACCCAAGTCTTTCAATTCCTCCCTTTGCAAAAAAAGTACTGAGTACCTATAATGTTCTAGACACTAAATACATCTATTATTCATTCTTCAACTTACCCTACAAGTATATATGACTATATGTGTGTGTGTATATATATATGATAAAAATGTTTGATAACTTGGCTAAAGTCACACAACTAATAAATAATTGAAGTGGAAGCTGAAATCAAATCCATGGAGGACTTCATGCATGTAGTCTGAAAAGGAACCTCACTCCTAACTCTACGCTACTTTTCTATTTTTATTTCTGCCTTTTTCATGCATGTTTTCAATTTCGTTTATCTTGTTTTATTGTATACATCTTGTAAATCAAAATCTTAGTTGAAACAAAGTCAAGAATAAAAAAATAAAATTTAACATGTTCTGAAGGTTGATAATGGTCTATCTTTATTAGGTTTTATAAAACCAAAAGAAAACAGGAAGATCATTACTTTAACAAATCACTCCACAAAGAGATATCATAAAGGGTTAGAGCTCAAAGAACTGTAAAGGTAAGAAAGGTCTCATTTTGTAAATATGGAAACTGAAGTACAAAACAGTTAAGGAATTGTGGATGGTCACAGAGCACATTAGGAGAAACCTGAGTTTAACTAATCACCATTTTTATATGCTGATATATGAAAATTGGCCTTTATTATTCAATAAAATAGTAAAGAGGTTCTAGGAAAAGTACCAAAGACTATTACTACTCTCTCATTTCTTACCTTTAAAAAAAAAAAATCAAGATTAAATGAAAAATAAAAAGCCAAGGATGACTCTAAGTTATACCTATGTCTGCCATATGTAGTCTAAAACATTAGCTATGGAAAAAATATCAAAATAGTATCATACAAAGTAATATCCTACTCAATTGGGTTTTTTTTAAGATTTATTTGAGAGAGAGAGAGAGAGAGTGTGTGTGGGATAGTGGAAGAGCGAGAGGGAGAGAGAATCTCAAGCAGATTCCACACTGAGCACAGAGCCTGAAGTGGGGCTCGATCCCATGACACTAAGACCACGACCTGAGCCAAAATCAAGGGTCAGATGCTCAACTAACTGCACCACCCAGGCACCCCTTCTACTTGCTTTAATTTAAAATTTATTCAGGGTGCCTGGCTGGCTCAGTCAGTAGAGCGTGCAACTCTTGATCTCAGGGTTGTGAGTGTGAGCCCCATGTTGGGTATAGATTACTTGAAAAAATAAAATCTTAAAAAAAAATAAAATTAAAAAAATAAAACTTATTCAATTTAAGTCATTTTAATCAACTTTACTGAGGTGTAACTTACATACAATAAAATGAACCAGTTCAATGAGTTTTGATATATGTAAACACCATGTTACCACCACCTTAATGAAAATATGGAACATTTCCATCACTATAAAAGTTCACCCATGCCCGTCCCCAATCTCTCCCACCTTCTGACCCAGGTACCACCAATCCAATTTTTTTCACTATAAATTAGCTGTGCCTGTTCTGAATTTCATATAAAAAGAATCACAGGAGTGGCACGTGGGTGGTACAGTCAGTTGAGTGCCCGACTCTTGGTTTCAGCTCAGGTTGTAATCTCAGGGTTGTAAGATGCAGCCCCGCTTCAGGCTCCACGCTCAACGTGGAGTCTGCTTGGGATTCTCTCTCACTCTCCCTCTGCCCCTCCTGCTTGTACTCGCTCTCTCAAGAAAATAAATAAATCTTAAAAATAAAAAAATCAGGGGCACCTGGGTGGCTCAGTTTGTTAAGCATCTGCCTTCAGTTCAGGTCATGATCCCAGGGTCCTGGGATCGAGCCCCGCATCAGGCTCCCTTGCTCAGCCAGGAGTCTGCTTCTCCCTCTCTCTCTGCCCCTCTGCCCTGCTCATGCTTTCTCTTTCTCTCTCTCAAATAAATAAAATCTTTAAAAAAAAAAAAAATCACAGGGTAGGTACTCTCTGGTATCTGCCTTCTTTTGCTATTATAATGTTTCTAAGATGCATCAGGAGTGTGTCCTTTTTTATTTCTTAAATTTGTTTATCCATTCACCAGTTAAAAGACATTGGTTGTTTCCAGTTTGGGGCTATTCTGAATAGAGCTGCTACGAATATTTGTTTTTACACGTCTTTATATGGATATGTTTCCAAACCACTCAGAGTAAACAACTATAAGCAGATATGATAGGTCACGTATTAAGTGTATGTTTAACTTTATAAGGAATTGACAAACTCTTTTCCAAAGTTGTTGCACCATTTTACACTCTCACCAGCAATATTATGAAATTATGGCTGCTCCAAGTTCTCACCAATATGTGGTATTATAAGTCTCCTTCATTTCAGCCATTTTAGTGAGTGTGCAGTGATATTCACTGTGGTTTTGATTTTAATTTCTGTAAGGGTTAATAAGGTTGAACATGTTTTCCTGCACTTACTGGCCTTTGTATATCTTCCTTTGTGATATGTTAAATCTTTGGCCCATTTTTAACTGAATTGCTCATGATCTTACTGAGTTGTAAGCATTACATTGTATATTCTGGATACAAGTCTTCTGTCAGAAATATGTATTATGAATATTTTCCCTCAGTCTATGGCTTGCCTCTGCACTTTTGTAACTGCTTTTTGAAGAAGATTTTAATTTTGATAAGTTCTGATGTGTTATTATTTTCTTTTATGGTTAGTGCTTTTTGTGTCCTAAGAAAGCTTTGCCTCGTCTAGGGGCCATACCACCCTGAACGTGCCCAATCTCATCAGAAAGCTTTGCCTACCCTAGAGTTGTGAAGATAATCCTTATGTTTTCTTCTAGAGGTTTTATAGTTTAGGCTTTTACCTTTAAGTCTGTATTTTACTTCTAGCTCATTTTTGTGAATGGTGTGAGGAGAAAATTAACATTTGTTTCTTTCATAGTACCAAACAAAATAATACGCTATTCCATTTTTCAAGTTAAAAATTTCCCCAATTCATTTTTAAACTTAAAATCTATCTTGACTTCCTTTGCTTGCAAAGGAATCTACACAAAAGAATACAACTCTCATAGTAAGAACAATAAGCCTGCTTTATAATAAAACTAACCATACCATGTGATAGCAAAAACTCATTAACTTTCACTAATGTCAAATAACCTAAATATCTGTGCTTAATGGTAATATAATTTCTATATAACCAAAAAACTTTCTTGAAGTTCTCACAGTATTTCATTAAATTCCAATCCGAAAGGTAGCACAAAGAGCACTAAAATCATCAGTAACTTAAACACAATGTATGTTTATCTTTAACCTGAAGATCCAGACCTCAAGTACCACATTACGAAGCAGACAAGCTCACCTGAGTAGCTGCAGACTGACAGGAAGATGACGATGACGACGAGACAACAGGAATGTCAGACTGTACAGCAGCCACAGTGGTAGCGGGTGTGAAAATCAGCTGTACAGACAGAAAAACCAAAAAAATACCCTAAGACAAAAGAACGTGTCCCACACACAATGTATAGCAGGCAAGAGAGACTGAAATTTGTGACAGAAAGACAATGCAGTTTAGGATTGTCTCCTAAGCAAAAGGTTTTACGTGACAAAGAAAAGTTTCTAATAGAGAACTCAAAAAAAAAAAAAAAAGCATAAACATTTTGAAACAGCTCATGATTCTGATGAGTAGAAAAATAAATCAGTGCTCAAAAAAGAAAATGTATTTTGGTAATATGAAATCCTCATACCAAATTTTGCCCCAAAGAAGCTATTATTATACTCAAACTTTTCCCAGTTCAAAAACTACTATGGCAGGATTCCTAAAATGGAAGTTATTTTTAATAGACAACCACTCATGAATACAAATTTCAGTGAGAAACCTGAAAAGAAACACAAGTCTTTTCAGTCTTCTTTATCACAAAAGATAACTATGCCCCATACTGTACTATTTCACTCAGCTACATGGGATCTAAAGTACAAACGTAGGTTGCTCTTGATTTTAAAACTATTCATAAAGAAATATTCATTCCAAATGTAAATGCCACAACATGTCAAAATGCAACAACAAAACAGCCTGCAAAAAAGCTTCACATCAAATAAATAAGGAAGAAAAGACATACTCAATTTATTTACTTAATACCATCTCTTCAAATGTTATTTTTCAATATTGAAACAATGCCATTAGTTTAAAAAGGCACTACAATCCACTCAGATTATCCAATCCAATTTAGTAAATTAAGACAGTTGTTTCACACAATGTGTAAATACTCTATTTCAAAACTGCATTAGGAATTACTTAGTTCCTCCAGCCATTCCTGTTTAAATTAAAATTACTGACTAAAGGATCTTTTAAATTTCAGTTCTTTATAATACTAAATTTAAGTGAATTAAACAACAAAGTATAACTTTCACAAGAAGGTAACTGCCAGAACAAACAGCTGAAAGCACTAAAAATAAAGAGAAGATGTTTGTTCTATTTAGCTTGAACCATATATAACTGCAAGTTTTATAAAGAGGTCAAAAGTGGTCATTTCAAATGATTCAGCCTAATTTTAAAGCATATTATTAATTAAATAAGATCTCCTAGAGGAAAAAAACACAAAAATATGGTAATGTCCACTGAATAATCTATAAATAAAAGGTGGGTCATGTCACTGTTTCCTGTCAGAAATATGATGGAAAACTTTCTTTGTAATTTTAGTGGAGAACTGGATCCAGATATATATTCAGTACACTGGACAAAAAAGAATACAAGTAAATATATACTAGACCAAAGCTCTTGTCTAGCTACCTGTAAAGACATCAAATAAATGCCAACCAATTCCTTAAAGAAGCTCAACAGGTAAATTAGGAAATCAGTAGGTACTCAAATATAGACCAGCCAAATTAACACTCCTGTATTAACAAAAGATCAAAGTGAACGTAAGAACACAAATACCTTACTAATAATTTTGAGATGGGAATAACCAAAGCTAAAAATCATCTGGTAAATTACCAGGAACTCCAATCCAGATCTAAGAAGATCCCACAGTATAAATTCTAACTTATAGTTAACCACTAACTTTTTAACATTGCTAACTATTTCATCAAATTTAAGATGCCCAAGATATACAATGATTTTACATATATATAAATCTTACTGCAAATATTAATTATAACTGTAAGATGCCATCAATTATAAATGCATCTCAATTTCAGAGATGTTAAGATGTGAAAAACGTTTGAAATCCATAAAATTTGATATTCAAAAAATAGTCACTCCATGTTACAGAATCTGTTAGCTTCCCAATGTTGCTACTATTTGATACACCAAGAAGGCCTACCAATTAAAAGAATTTTTCATGCCATAAATGTATAAGAGCTAAGCACACACATAAAAAATTTGTTAAACATTTCTGAAATATTAAAAATGCCTCTTATTGCATCAAATCAAGAAACATTTCGATCTCTCTCAAGTCCTTAAACACTGAAAAAATTTGGTAGCTCATATCTTACCATTTGAGCTCGGAGATACATTTGAGCTTGGCTTGCCGTTAGGGTAGGGGAGGTACTCCCTAGTAACATAGTCTGTTGGGTAATACTGCCGCTGGTAGAACTGGAAGCCTGGGAACGGCTTATTAACTGTGCAGGTGTAGGAGAAGTGGAGAGGTTGATCTAAGGAAGAAAACATATTAGGTCATAGGCTTCCATTTCTTGCTTCCATGCCAGTGAATTTCACCAAGCTGCAGTTAGGCAATCAATGGTATAAACTATGGCTAAGGAACCTAAAAGAGAGGGCTTCATCTTTGACAGAGCCTCCCTCACTTCTTTGGGCAATTATTTGCACATATGCAAACAACAGTATGTACTGATTAGGAATTAGATAATTTTTAAGGATATCCTCAAGGTGTTTCATTCAGTAAGATTCCACTATCTTAAAATATCATTTCCACTACCTCCCAAAAATTAGGGTTAATGTTCCACTATTTAAATATTCCACCTACTAACTTAAAACATCTGAATCAAGAGTTTATACTATTTTGTCAGATTCTGTCACAGTTTGAGGGGTTTCTCAAGTGAACAAAAATTAAAACACAGATAATCCATTCACATATATATAAACATACATGTAACATATAATTAGTATAACGTTCTCTCTCAAAAGCTCTCAAAGAAGAAAATACAATTGCTACTTGTCAAACAGATGGAAAAATCCTGAATTCTGGTTACAAAATTAAATTATAAGCACTACTTTAAAGTTAAAACTGCTGTTAGAAAAAAGAAAACCAGTTCAGAGTCTATCTCTAGGATACATGAGAACCTCATAAATGGTTCTTATCTGTGAAGGCAAACTGGCTGAGGCAGGTAGGGAAGAGGGCAAAGGGAGACAAGTATACCCTTTATCTTTCCAATATCACACCACATGCATATTATCCTTTTTTTCTTCTTTTGTGTTTCATTTCTCTATTTGGGTTTTTTTTTTTCATTTTTATGTGTTATCCATTTTAAAAATAAATATTTTAATGTGTAATATAATCTGACCTCAAATACTTTTTGTGGACAAAGAATAGCTTATTAGACTTTTGATTCAAGACACAAGGTAGACGGGACTAATATATCCATGTGCCCAAATACTCACTGAAATGCCAAATCAACATGAAATACTAGAACACAACTGAACACCTAAAAGGGAAGGGGAAAGGGAAATTCCCAGGTTGCAGAAAGGAAGAAACTCTAGCTGACAAGAAGCACCAAGGCAATCTCAGGGGACACTGGTCTAGAGATAGAAGACCTGATTTTGAGCCTATTTTAGGCAAGAGCTGGAGGTAAAAAACCCCTATTTTGAGCCAAGATCTTTAAAAGGGGTACTCAGTATGTGAGAAGGTAACAGGAAAAGCTCCACTCATTAGCCCTAAGAACCAGCAAGGAAGCTTGCCATCTGCCTTGCCTGCAATGGAAGAAGAAAGCCTCCTATGAGAATCAAAATGCCAGGCTTGCGCCATGTGGGGGGCTACAAAATCCAAATGTACCCTACCTGCAATTTCATAACCCATCCAAAACATTAGCATTTAAACCAGTCCAGGACATGTGTTAAACTGAACAAGTACCTGGAGGAAGCTAAGTGAAGGCGATACTGGATGACCTCTCTGTACTGTTTTTGCATTAACTTCCTATGAGTCTATAATTATTTAAAAATTAAAAAGTTTTTTAAAAACTGAAAAAAACTGTATGGGGGCACACAAGAGTTGGTTAACTAATTCTCTAAACTTATCTATATAAGTATTTTTAATTTTAATAAAATACATTGTACTTAAATCTATAATTCAGTGCATAAAGGCAATGAATACAATACACAGACTTATTCTACAATATAGTTTTTACTCCTAGCACACCAGTAAAGTCACAGTAGCAATAACCACCGCCTTCCATCTGACAAATTCAATGGACCTTTTTAGACCATTCCCTCTCAATCTTTTTTACCAGCTCTTCTTTTGGGCCCATCTCCAAAATGTTCACCCCCAACACTTTTCTTCTTGAACTCCTAGATTAGCACATCCACACTCCCAGTTTCAAAAAACCAAACCTGATGACTCTGAATCCTTAATTATAAACTCACTCTGAGCTCCAGATCCACATACCTACAGAACATATCTTTCTGGATATCTCTTATCAACTCATATTCAACATGTTCAAACACCAAACTCATTATTCCTTCTTAAACCAGCTTCTCCTCGAATAGTCACTCACTGACATCTCCTAAAATCCTACAAAACAGATTTTGTTTTGTAAGTCACCTTGATTCTTCCTTCTCCTTTACCACACATACAAGATCAGTCACATCTTACTGTTTATACACCTTTATTTTCTTCATTTTCATTTTAATCACTTAGTTTGAGAGTCTGGGCCTATGGCACTTCCAGCTAAATTACTTTAACAGCTGCAAACTGACCTCCCTGCCTGAAATCTTGTTTCCTTCTACTTGCCAGATAATCTTTCCCTGATTTAATTAATTAACCATTTAAAAATCTGGATCACATTTGACCTCCCCTGACTAGCGCTCTAGCATCATCTCCTCCCACTCCTCCATACACACCTTTCACATTAGTTATATGAAGCTATTTGCAGTATCATAACGTCCCAGGCCTCTGTGGTCCGAGTCAAAATGCTCTGGACAGGTCTGAGCATCCCCCTAGCCCCATGCCCCACCCCATCTGTACCTACGTAGTGAACAACCCTCTCTCAAAAATCATCTGCTCTAATAAGCTTTTTCAGGCATCCCTACATCCCACAGAACTATTTCCCTTCCTTTTTGCTTGTTATCATTCATATACTTCTATCTCACTCTTCTAAACAATAATTTCTGTAAGGGTAGGGATCATGAACTATTTACATCTTCATATACCCAGTATCTACAAAAGTACTTTCATTCAATAAGTTTATTAAGTTAATGAATGCCATGTTATTTTAAGTCCCTAACAAAGCAGAGTAAAAATGCAGAGACAGCGTGATGATACTAATTCAACTCTATTTTTGATGTGCTACATAATAAATTATTAGTAAGCCCCCCCAAAACTTACTATTTTCCTACACCTCTACAAATGGACACTTTGGATAAAGCCTTGCTACAAAGATCAAATCACTTAGCAGGATAAAACTGGACCCAGGTTTTCTGGCTCATATATTTTGGCATTCAAAGTGGTTTCCTATACCCTGATAGCTTGCAAATTTGGGTCACTGCAATAATAGTGCCATGGCACTTTTTTTCAGACAGTGGAAGGAAGAGAGGATGGAAGGGAGGGAAAGAAGGAAGGAATTCTAGTCAGGATAGACCACACAGTCTTTAAACAGAAACACAATAAAAGTGTTTTTAAAAAATGACTGCCTGGTAGCTAAAATGCCTGAGAGTTCTCTTTAAGGAAGCAGAACACAAAGTACGAAGAGAACGCTTTTCTTTTTTTTAAAAAAGAAAAAAAGGAAGTAAGAAAACAAAATAGTAACTTCCACCTGCATTCCATTTTGTCTAAGTTGTGAGATCAAAAAACCAGTATCATGTTTATTTTTAAGTTCCATATAGCAAGTAACATTTCAGGCAGCGTCTACTCACAAATGCCCAACCCATGAATGAGGGCAATTATAACTCTGCATGAAGTCCATCTCCACAACTGGCCTAACGAAAAAAAAAAAAAAACTTCCCTTCCTTTCCACAACTGGTAAGTCTCTCCTCTACTTTCTGCTTTGTTCTGCTGACCTGAACCAGAGGCCTTAATTGCTTGCATTATATTCTCTGTCAACTCCATCCCAACATTCCTAATTCCTTTTCACTTTAAACCCTTGGCCAATCCTGTCACTTCATACCTGAAGCCCCACACTCCATAAAGGAACTCACTCCTTGAGCCCTTATTACTGGAAGCCCTCTCCCCAGTTGAAAGCACGAATTCCAAGAGTCACCAGAGAAAACCGTGTCTACAAAGAAATGCCATTTAACTCACAACTACATCTTGGTGTCCCTCCAAAACGAGATTACATAGGGTTTCTGGCCCAGAGTACTCCCTAGAACCAAAGCCCATTTGAGAACCATTGCTGCCATTTGACTGATCAAAATCAATCAGGTACATCTATAGAAACATAGTACACAGACATTAAAAGGATAATGTATACCTGTATTATTCAATGACATGAAAATATCTTTATAACCCACTGCTGAATGAAAAAAACTACAGAATAACATATACAGTACAATCCATTTACATAATTACATAAAAATGTGTCCATGTATATACATATCACATGTGAAAAACATGTTGAGAGAAAAACAAATGCATTGTATATACACACAATAATGCACACTCATAAAACTGTATATGATTAAATTTGATATAGATATATAGGCATACACACACCATTCTGGAAGAATAATCACCAAAATGTAAAGGTGAATAATGTCTACTAGGGGTAAAATCTGGGATAATGTTTTATCTTCTTGTCTTTTCTGTGTAGGTATGAACTTTAGAATCAGAGAGGAAATGCTATTTTCCTTTTTTTTTTTATGTTTACTTTACATTGTTTTTACCACTTTAAAGCAGTGTATACATTTTCTTGCCTCATTATTCAGTGGGGATTTGTATATGAGTAATTCAAGTATCCAGAAGTATAAAATGCTATATTAAAATTTCAAATAAAAATATCTACCCATGAAAGATTTCCTTTAAGAGACTGTACTCTTTTGATAATAACATGAAATAAAATGTGAATCCTATTATAGAAAACCATTATTTCTACTATTTGCAATACAAGCTATAAACACAACAGCAGCAATGCCTGGCTGGCTCAGTCAGTTAAGCGTCTGTCTTCGGCTCAGGTCATGATCCCAGGGTCCTGGGATCAAGTCCCACATCGGGCTCCATGCTCAGCAGGGAGCCTGCTTCTCCCTCTGCCTGCCGCTCCCCCTGCTGTGCTCTCCCTCTCCCCCTCTTTCTGACAAATAAATCAAATCTTAAAAAAAAAAAAAACACACAACAGCAAAACAAGAAGCCTCATAACTTCCCATCTGCTTTCAGATTTCGATATCTTTAAAAAGTTGCAGTGCTGAAACAATTAAAATACTGGAAATAAAGTGTTCAGCAATGGGGATGGTTACATAAAATAAAGTGCATCCATACCGTGCAACACTACGC